TTTACCGTTGTAATAAAAAGGCAGCCGTTATTGAACACCGAACCTGTTATTTACAGAGTGATAAACAAGTCCGAACACCTATTTTATATCACCCAACTCTCTTTTTACACCAAGTGACAAACGAAACAAAACTGATATATAGTTCACATCAATTCCAAAACCCGGCCATAGATACTCAAAAGACAGATTTCTCATATGTATTTCACACACATCAATCAAGTCAGCACTCAATATCATAAGTTTCCTTCAACTAAACAAGCCGCCTTTTAATAGTCTTACTGGTCCTTTGGTAGGTTCGGACAAGCAAACCAACTCCAATCCCAACTCCGAGGCAAATCCCAAGCCCTATCCCCACTCCTACTCGAACCCCAGCATTGAACCAAGAAAGTTCCCCGTCTTCACCTTCCATATATTCCGTTCTTCTCCAGTACGAGTCCTCACTTTCCGGTTCGTAAATCTTGTAATCCGCAACCTGACAAATGTTAACCCAAAATAAAAATAAATTAATTAATTAATTAATTCACGTAAGATTTATAGAAGAAACACATTAGTTTTACGAATATGGTGAGAGCAATTAGTAGGTGCCGACTGTTTTCGGTTTTAGGCTTGAAATTTTTTTCCAAGGTGGTTTTCACATTGATTTGGGGGAATCTAACACAATACAAGTTGGGAAGCAACTTAATGCAAGGTTATATATAATAATGTCTTTCTAAGAATCAATCTCATGTTCCAACAAACAATCAAGTTAACCCATCTTATCCAAGAGATTAACTGAATCAACGTTATTGAATTAGTGTCATAAAGCTTAGATACCGTGTCCATCGAGGAAGCATGGTAAAAGTTATTATTAAATGCTAAAATATGCTTGAAATTTCAGAAAAAAATCTANGAATGAAAATAAGTCTCATGCGTTCAGCATATCCTGTAGAGAGGATAAGTCTCGAAAAACGTCAAAAACTGACCTCAGCTGCCATAGGAGCCCACAATTCAAGATATAGAGTTTTTGTCACAATGGGATCTATGCATCAATCTCTACTATAACAGTAGGAAAGAGACAGAAAATGAAGATAGAACTTATCTCTTTAATATTTGTGCCTGCCCATGCCTTCACTACATGTTAAGGATAAGAACTTTTGATATTAGAAAAAGGTTTCTCGATCCACTATTACAAAAAACAAGTGTTTTGTTCCAAACAAACATGTTTCTCAAGAGAAGGCAATCAGCAACCCACAGTTCAATCATGCTCTTGATTTTGTTCCAAGAAAGAAGCAAATTTGAAATGCTCAGACAATGTAAAGAAGTCTTTGTAAAGTCTCTAGTTTGTTAGTCTCACACATTGACAGAAGCTATAAAGGTTGCTTTAGTTAAAACTTACAATCACAGCACCAAGAAAGTGGAATCACATATTTGATGGATTAATAAGATGTGAAAACACAATATGTTTTATTCGAGGGTGAAATTAAAATGAGAGAGGGATCAGCAATCCAAACAACCCCACTCAAACTTTTACATTTTGCTCGGATCATACCAAATCAGAATTGCTGCATTTGCCAAAAAAAAAAAGTTAAAAAAAAAAGGTTTCTTAATTTTTTTGGTGTATTTTCATGATCATCAAGAACTTCATGGGTTGATGTACACAAGTATTCCAAATCTAATATTTTTAGGCGAGTAAGGAGTGCTTGAAATTAGGTTCCTGAATGAAGATCATTCAATCCTTTGTGTCAATAAGTAAATCATTTCCAACTTTTTCACATACAGCAGAAATGAGCATTTTCTGGAATGAACGTGGTAAATGGCATCAGCTACTTTATTTACCAAAAAAACGAGAAAAAAATTTCAAGAAATCAAAAATACATAATTACCTGCAAATCATGGCCAGATGCCACATCATCATTGGATTCTTCAGCAGCATCATACTCGGGAATCGGGTTTAGCATGCCATTTCTATGCTTCTTGCGGCTACAAACTTGTAAAGTCTTGGTCAGTATAATCGGGATTCCCGAAAAGCAGCCAGCCACATAAACTTCAATAGTGGGCACTAAAGATTCAGAACTCATTATTTGTTTTCCTTTCAAAAATCCCACACCATTACTGATAACTGATTCACAGTTCATGCTCCATTTCTTGGCCGCATTATTTGACTCTCCAGTAAATCCATTGGTACCTAAAGCACCCCAATAATGGGATATCACTTCATCACATTACTTTTTGTAACATTTTAAATCAGGTGTCGTCTAATTTTTCATTATCACGTTAATTACCACAGTTTTTGCAAGAAAACTCTATAATCAATACTTTACTGACATGTTAAGGGAAAAACATCATAAAGTATATTACACTATAAAAGATAAACAAAAAATTCATACATAAACTAAAAACAAGAAAGTACCTGACATTTCCAAAACCCCAGATATAACAAGATCCTCTTTATCGAAAACCTCAAATCTCACGCTGCCTGTGAATCTTACGTTGTCCGTGCTTACAAAAGTAGCCTCTTCGGATTTCTTATCAACTCTGTCCCGTCTAAGAATGCACGAAATTCCTTCTGACTCAATCGAACATCGAGTACCATTTACTTCAAGGACTGTGTCCGGGCTCAAAGGGATGTAATTTACGGTGAGGCATTCAGGGGTAGAATCGTCAACGATGAAATTGCTAACTCTAACATAGAACACTCGTGTATCGAACCAAGGCAATGAAAACATAACGTGTAGGTTACGGCCATTCAGACTCCCATTGCTATGTGAATTGTGAGAATTTTCCATTTTTTCAGAAATAGATCACTTTAAGAAGGCATGAATCGAAGAAGATGAATGAAATTGAGAAGCCCTGTAGTGATAGCAAACATAATACTTTCAATGTTTGTGGAAAACAATGAAATAGAACATGTTTAGCAAGAACTATTAAGTTTCAGTCAAAATTCATATTTGGCATAAATTAGAGCTACCTAAAATAGCTTTAAAAAGCAAGGAATTATATGAAATTCACAAAAGCTCAAAAACCCAGAGGAATACATTAATGTCAAAAAAATGAAAAAGTGACTGAAAAACTTAATACCTGTTGAGGGAAGAGAGGATCACAAAGAATCAGGGCATTTGCAAAATAAGGAGAAAGGCTTAGAAAGTTGGTTCTTGTAATAAAATTGTCATGACAAATCACAAAACGCAAGGGGAAATTGATGAAGAAAAGGTAAAAGGCGTCCCGATTCATGTGGCGAGATTTTAGTTCAAAGTCGGAAAAGCATGTAAAAAGAAACTTTCGTTGTGCGAATGAATACACTCCTAAATACAGGATCTCAGATCAGAAATGAAGAGAGATAAAGAAATACAAGATATAGAGAAAAACACGGGTAAATTGTATCAACACACCAACAATATTAGACAATTACATTGAACCTGGACAAAATATACATCTGAAACAAACTATAAAACGCCCAGAAAAATTACAACAAAGAAAAAGAACAACCGAAACGAAAGAATAAAAGGCTTTGCGTGGTGATTAAAAAAAAAAACGATTTTTACACTAAACACTTAACTTACCAAGAAAATCTACCCAAGGTCTTCTATTTTATTCCGGATAAAAGGGAAAACGGAAGTGATTTTTCCAGGCTAACTGAATATAGCTACAAAACAAACAGACTAAAGACAACGTTTGATTTGTCAAGTTGTTTTGCCGCAGCAAGATGCGAGCTTTGGCTCAAATTTTGTGGCACAATCGATTACGAAATATACCCCTTGGAATTTTGAATCAAGAGTGAATTTTGAAGGGTGCGTATTAGTTTCTTGATTTAGTTTTCTGGCTTCAACCTCAGTGCCTTCAAGACAACTGCGGAATAAGATATATACATAGTTATATAATATTTATATAAGTGGTATAATAATAAATATCTTTGTAATGGCAGCTATATTTCTTTTCTCTCAACTCACCAGCTTAATTTTGTGTATACTATATGATATCATACTCTTTCTTTCTATATTTTGTTTTTCTTATTTTTTGTTGACCGCTGTCCAAGTGTCCTNATGGACATTGGGTCATGTTGATCGGCCTTATCCAGAGAAGGGTTTGCATTTTTACGAGGTCGGTGACATGAAATTGAAACTATGAAAGTGATGTTTTACTAATATTTTAGCTAATAAACAAAAATATCAAGAATTAAATAAATAGTCGCTGAATTATTTATTTAATTAAAAAAAATAACTGGACAAAAATAAAAAAAATAAAAAAAGGGTGGACAAAAATAATACACGTATTCTCGGAATAAGTTTTTAATTGTAAAACGTTTCCGAATATACGTTTACACCTATAAACCGTATTCTCGGATTACGATTTATGTTAACATAATTAAGTAACGTAATTAAGATAATTAAATTACACAAAAACGTATATCTGAAATACGTTTTAAGTTAAAAATACTCGGATTATCGAAATACGTTTTTTAATTAAAATTAATTTTACAATTATGTTTTAATTATAAAACACATTCTTGAAATGCGATTTATAAATAAAATTAATTTTAGAATTTTTAAAAACAATTTTCTGGAGAAAATATATTTTTCAAAATTAAAAACGGATTTCTGAAATACGTTTTTATTGAAAAATTAATCTTTCCCCAAATTGATTTTTGCCCCAATTCAATTTTGCCCTAAATTGAATTCCTCCATAAACCGTATTCTAGAAATATGTTTTATAAATAAAAAAAAAAATATAAAATGTATTCCTGAAATACGCTTTACTCTGTACAAAAGAAAATATTTTTGGGATCCATTTGACAACCAAATAAACCAACTTGTTCAACCAACAAATATCAATCAATTTGCCAAATAATAATTCAACACACACTATATAAAAAAGATCAAACACAATAATTTATTGAAGAAACACTATATACAAAAAGGTCCAAATACAGTTTACACACAAATATGTCCACAAATTTTACTGCATACAACACAAACTGACTATGAAGGAGTAAATGGATTCGTAGGTCTGCACAGTCGGGACCCCCTCCGGAACTGTGCGAGAGGCGTGTCGTCATCAAAATCCGACACATTCTCTTCTCCTGAGTCTTCTTCAACTGAGTAATGCATTTAGTAAGAAAATCAGAAATTCGACTTGAGAAAAATGATACAGTACTCGATGAACTTGCGGCTTAAGATTGCCGACGATGAACCTGCAAGAATAAAAAAAAAAAAAAAAAAAAAAAGAAAGAAAAAAAAAGAAGACAAAAAAATAATTTTTTGTTAAGTAAATAAATCTCACATTCTTCAAGCCTGAGGTTCTCAGATTGGAGGTGCTGGGGGGACGGTGGATTGCTTGGGCGTCGTTGTCGTTCTTGTTGTTGTTGTTGTTCCCCCCTTCGGACAAGTTCAATTTCGCGGTCACGGCCCCGAGGTCTTCTGCCCCCACCAATGTTGGCAGCGGGTTGATGCCTCGCGGTGTGTGACTGTGTCCTCTGAGATAGAACTTGACTTGACGACGTCCCTTGTGTAAGACCTCGGCTTCCAATAGTCAGAGAAGTGTAGGCAAAGTTGAAGGACTATTGGAATGCGGTCTGTGCCTCTGGAGGGAGTGTAGGCATTAAATGTTGAATACTCGTTAACGAGTTATAAACCCCCTTCAGGCCAGAAGTCTGAAAATAAAATTCAAAGTAATTAGTATGAAACAACATAAATAAAATAATAATAATAATAATAATAATAATAATAATAATAATAATAAACCACAAATTATTATGAACACTTACCTCGCACCCTAACCGCTCGGCCATTGGCGGATAGCCGTCGGCCTGTTGGAACACCTAGTAATTGCCAGGGATACTAATGAGTCTCACAGTCCTACTGTGAAACCAATCAAGGTAACCCTGCTCTGGCTGCAGGAAGTCATACGCAGGGGCAACTGGGATGAGATGTAGTTCTCTTTCTTCGGCCTAGGCCTTCGTAAGCGGTGAATGAAAGACGGTCCAATCACCGAATGCCCTCACAGTCATTCTTTGGCCGCTGTGGTGCCTATCCCAGTCTTGCTCACCCATAATGATCGGATTTTGGGGGATGGACTGACGACATCCAAACGGATGACCCTATCAGGCAAGTGTAGCTCACGGCTGCTCCAACAGAACATCCACCCCCGGTACATCCAAAATTGTTTATCTTCGGTACACTCACCCGGGAGAGTACCAGCATCTAGGTACTGTTAATAGGGCAGCTAATCGAACTGTAAAAAAAATAATAATTAGAATTAAGTTATAAAAAAATTAAAAACAAAAAACAAGGATAAATAAATCAATAGGACTTAAGAATCTTACATCCGTCTCTCCCAGCCCTGTCAACTGATCCCGGATAGGACCCTTCCCTTGCCTACATGTGTCAATTCCTTTTTTCCCACCCACCTTCAAAATCACATAAAAAAAAGGAAAAAAAAAACTTTGTAAGAAACAAATTTTGATAATGGAAATAACTTACGTATTAAATATTAGTAAATGTCTTTACCTTGCACCTAAGAGACAACCATGCATTCTGTCAAACTGCATCTTGGACTTCATTTTTGGGCGAATACAAGGAATACGCTCCCACGCCCAAACCTACACATATTGACATATGAATTTGTTATTAAATATTAGTCTAACTTAGAATAAAAAATAATGAATTTTCAAAGAAGAAGTAAATAAACTTATCTGAATCAATTGCACATAGCTCTTGATCCACCATTGACCGACCCTGTAGGAGGTGCACAACGCTCTATATACTGCAGTCACGAGCGCTGAACCCCAATTGTACCCTTAATCCCATCTATGTCCGCCAGTAGTTGCAGCTAGAAAAGATTCATGCCATTCGCCCGCTGGTCGGGGAAAAAGAAGGACCCAAGGCACCACAGGATAAGGTCCCTCGCCCTCTGCTTGTAGCGTCTGGCCGGCAGTCCATCTCTTTGATCTATAAAACATTCCCTTTCTAATTCCAAACCCTTCATAAACTGGGCTTTAATGGTCCAATTAGCGGAATCTTGCGCCGCTTCCTCTTCCTGGGTGGTGGGGGATCTTGAGAGTGGTTTTTTATATTAAAAACTATAAAATAATTGAGTGGACATAAATTTAGAAAAAAAAATTATAGGGAAAAATATACCTGGACATAGGGCTAGACGTGTCCAT